CCTTTTGAATATCTCCACATACCCACTTACAGTTTCTTGGAGCATTCTCAAGAACTACATTCCGTATAGCTTCATTCTGGTTTGCCAAAGTATGTACCAACTCTCGGAAATTTCCCTTATTTTTCGACTCCTCTGATTCATCATGGCCCCGGAAAGCTAAGCCTTGATGCAACAAGTATCTCACCGAATCAATGGAAGCATCAAGCCGAATTCGATTTTGCTTTTTTGTAAGATCAGTTTGCTTATCAAAAGCAACATGAATTGACTGATCTTGATTCATCAAAGCGTCACATCTTTTTACTGCTACATTGTGAAAGCTATTAACATTACCCTTACCCTCATGAGTATCGAGTCTGCTTTTCTTGTTCCAACCGTTCCAACCGTTAATTGCAAATGCATCACTTCCAGCTTGTCCCTCATTGTAATCTCTGAAAAGGTAGCAACACAAACAAAAAGCCTTATGCACTGTGTCACTATACTCAAGCCAACGATCGTAGTCGTTAAACCAATCTGGATTAAATCTCCGTTGAGTATCACCAATCTCCCTCTGCGGGTAATCAAAATTAGATGGTGGCCTGTAAGGTCCTCTCATTAAATATCTGCGCCTAATCTCATCTTGCTTTTTCGGATTTTTTGTGTAGTCTGAAATTCTCTTCCGATCAGCCGGATCATACGGCAACTCATCTAAATTAATTTCTGTATGAATAGTAGGCTTCGGAAGACTAGCTGCAGTGACATTTGATGCACTTAGCCTACGTCTAGTGGGTGACCTTGATGTGCTTGTATCATCATCTCGATCTGGTGACCGAGTTTTCTTCAAAAAATACCGCTCCATAGCCTAGATCAATCAAAGTTCATGGAGAAAAACGAATAAAAAAACTAGGGTAAAGCAGTCACTGCGTACTGGTGTTTTAGGGTAGATAAAACATACAAAAAAAGGAGAGGAGATGCGGCTGTATCATCTAATTACCTCAAATCTTGGGTTTCAGTATTGCCGATGTCGATCTGCAGCCGTTTACTTGCCGCGGGGGTGCGGCGGCGGCAGAGGCGTCAAGCGACAAGAACAGGCGAGATGGGAATTAGAGAAACGATTAGACGAACGATGAAAAAAAAACAGGCTTCGACGAGGCCGCGTGCGTCTGCCTACGCTTTTCTCGTAAAAAGGATTACGTGACTGACGCACTCACGATTCAGGTAAAACGATTACGTGGGCTTTTGGTTTTGGGCCTTTTCCTTCCACGTACTGAGGTGTGCTGGGGTCAGCCAGAATATTTTGTTGGGTTCACATCAGTCAAACACCTATATATACCACGTCCGAGGCAAGATCCATTGGGTTCAGTTGAACCCAATGCCTATACACTGGCTCCGCCGCTGATATTTGGTACTACCAAATAAAATTACATTTATATTAGATAATAAATTGAGTTGTATGATCGCCAACATCCAACAAGTTGATTATCTCATCTGGTCTTTAAGGCCTTTTCTTCTTAACCGTGTAACGTCTATGAAAGTCATTTCCCATTTTGCGTGGAGAAGTGTCTGTCTATTTTTACTGTTTTATGCACAATACCAAATAACTAGACTAACACTATGATTCATAAAAATAATACTGTCTCGGTTCACAAACATAAGATGTTTGGAATATTTCAGTATACTCCCTCCATCCCATAATATAAGATCGTTTTGCAAGTTGTTTCAGTTTGTAAAACGATCTTATATTATGGGAGAGATGGATAGACTTTTATGCGGAGTGAAAGGATTGAAAAAACACGTAAAATCCGCATGTATACATCTAAATTTGAAAATGGTAGAACATCTTATTTTTGTGAATGGAGGGAGTAATAAATAATAGCTTAGTGCATAATGATACCTGCTTATATCCTCACTCCAGGCGTCATCTGCTTGCATCTGGCCATCTACGAACCGTATAACAGTGGAAGGTTTGGTCGTTGTGGATATGCACAAAGATCGGCCCTCGGCCGGCGCCAAACGCCCTAACAGAATACGCACAAACGGCGGCCAGCGGAAAACGCCTAACCAGGAGACGCGCTATCGGCGGCCGACGCCAACGACAAACGCCCTAGAATCAGATCAATCGATCGATCCGATCGAGCACGTGGCCTGGGCTAAAACAACCACCTGCATTGTGGGCTATGGGCTGTTTTAATTCGGTACAACACGTCTAAATTATTTATTCACGTATGGGCTAATTAGGTGATTAGCTGCGGCCATTAGCGCATATACTACACTGGACTACGTGCTACAAATCGTTGAGGGGGGCGAGCCATTGGCAGGGGTCTAGCCCCTGCTCGCCCCTCCCTCTCTCCGCCCCTGTTGGCAGGAGTCCTGACTGCCTAGCAGCAAAGGAGCCAGATCTGGATCCAAAAGCAGCGCCGAAGTAGGGTCGCGGCGGTGATCCGTGCCATTCCATCCAGCTGCCGTCGACATGCCTAGATGGGTAGTTGTCGCGCCCACGGTTCGAATCTTTCCGGAGCTTTTCGGTAATAAAATGGTCTATCCCTAGCTATTTTCCTCAAACAATAAATGCTAGGGAGCCTTTTTGCTCTAAGTGAAAGCTAATTCTAAGAAATGGTGATGCTAATAATGAGGTGAACGGTTTCCAATTTGCATCTAAAAGTTTCGAGTTTGGCTAGGGAGCTGGCGATGAATGCTAGGGAGTTGGCGATGATGAATCGAATAAAGCTGGCGTGATAATCCTGAGATCCAAAAATTACGCTCTGCCCTAGCGCCGCTCTTCCTGGGCAACACGGGCAGTGGCGCCTGGTCCAATCTTCTCTCTCCTCCCGTCTTTCCCTCTCGCTGTCATTGGAGAACGCTGCCGGCGAAGCTGGTACTGTTGGCAGCGGCAGCGGGGTCCCTACTTGTGTTTTTTCTTCCCAAGGTCACGAACCCATACAGATCAAATCGATATCGATCCTATCGTTACTAGCAATTTCGCTCGTACGTAGGTGAATGTGGTCGGCCAAACGTGCATGTTGCTGGCCTACAAATCAATCAAGCTGCATGTATGTTTGGTTGAGGATAACTTTGCACATGCATGTCTGGGTCTCATCGATGACAGCGGCTTATGAGCGGAGTTCCATGGTCTTTGGTGGCTGCAAGGCTGGCTAGTGGTCTGCCAGGAGCTCATCGGAAGAGGACAGGCGGCCCTCCATGCACTGCTCGTGTCCATAGCTGGCGTGGCTAAGGATGCGCGATGACGGCCGCGGTTGCTTTTGGTGGCGCCTATGCTCCGATTTCAGGGGATTTGACTAGATCTGGATGCACAACCATGGATCCAGTGCATGGAGGGTCAGATTCTGTTGTGTGCTGCCGGCCAGCCTCTCCCAGTCATGGAGGTGGTCGCCCTGGACCGTCTTTCATGGCCAGGCGGGCTGTGTCCACCACCCGTGCGTTCTAGTGCCGGTGGCCTGCTGCGCTGGGGTCGTCCCCGGCCAGATCAATAGCAGCCGTCCATGGCCTTCATCCTTTGTTGGGTTCGTCGACGGCCGGTCATCTTGTCCTGAAGGCGGCCTTGTCGTCGATTGTGATGGCCATCGAAAGGTCTTTGTGAGGGTTTCCCCTTCTAGATTCGGTGGTTCACTTCGCGGTGAGATGCGAACTATGGACAACGGCTTGATGTAGAGGGATGGCGGTGCAGTGCCGGCGGTCACCAAGTTTTTTTTCGATCCTGTTTTTTTTTTCTGGTAGTGGCCGGAATATCTGGTTTCCTGAAAATACCAGAAACTTCGGCTTTATTTCGCCCAATTTTTTCAACTAAATTTTGAATTCAATTTTTTCCTGCATAATATATCAGGTTTAACAACATTCATACACAATGCTCTTGCTATTCGAGTGGTCAGCCCTCCCTTCTTTCTTCAGAAGCGCTTGCGTGCTAGTACCCGACCTACGAGAAGTGGCGCTTCGTATAATCGTTGACTCACGGCGGATGCCCTCTGGGTGTGTCGTTGCGGCCGAATAACTCGCGTCACGTGTCTGACCCACCCTTCCCGCACCTCATCCGGTTTTTTTTTAAGAAATCATAAATAACACATAAAAGAATGGAAAACTTGCAGAAGTGGGGTTCGATCCTACGCCGCAGCTAGGACGCAACAAGCCCTACCACCAGGCCAAGTCATTAGTGCTATTCATACAAGCACACAAGCTTTATTTGACATTGGCTTGGCGTTTAAATACAAAAAAGTTGAAATTTTAGGGCGGTATGAAGCTTTCTTGGTAGGTAATGGGAAAACTGGCTTCCGGCCGGTTTCCGAAAATCTCGCTCGAGAAAAAAAAACTGGCGGTCACACACCGCATGTAGTTGGGATCGTGGAAAAGTGGTGGCGACAACACATGAGTGACTTGATGGTGGTGCTACTCGAGCACCGGGTCTCGAGCATCCGGGTGAAAGCCTAGGTGACCTGAGTTGGTTATGCCTAGCAATGGCGACGCTTTTACATCGTTACCTTGTTGAAGGCATTGCTCGGACTTGTTCTTCAGGGTCAAAACCTAGATTCTGACCTTCAGTGGTTGGATCCAATGACGGCGGTGATTGAGCATCACTCCCTTTCTGAAGGCGTTGCTGTGGAAGAATCTCGGTGTTTATTTGGTGTCACGAGAGGGTTGGTGCGGATATGGTCGTTGATGTAGTTCACCGATTGTGCATTTGATCGTTTTGGTTTTTTTTTTCTCGTCTACATATAGCTTTGGTCTTATATATGATTTTGCTATTTGTTGGGGCGTTTTTGTGTGCGTGCGTTGGTGTGGGCAGTGTGCATCCTAACTATATAGAGACCGGATGTGCTCATTGTGTTTTGGCTTATGAATCAAATATGGTGGAGATTGACTGAACTCTAGTAATTGTCCTCTTCGTGATGTCTGTTGTAGTTTGACAACCGTAGATTTGTTGTGGAACTTCTGGCCAGCCATGTTTTTGTCACTTTAGTTATTTCCTAATTAAATAGTAGTACGTGCGTAATTAATTTTCCTTTTATGTCCAGGCTGAAGGGATACATTCACATGCCAGAGTATGCTGACTTCATGTTTCTAATGCTTCTACCTTTTTCTCATGGGTCCGTACATTGGAATGTTGGGGTAGGACCCATGGCTTCATTCAGACGTGCCATTACAGCCATGGCTTTGGATATAGTGTGTAAGCACTCTGCTCCCTTTGATCACTTGGTAAAGGTGGATCTGAGGCCCACGCCAACGGAAGACCAAGCCCAAGGAACAGGCTTGATGAGCATCAAGTACCAGTTGGCCGTAGCTGCGGCAAAGGAGCTGGACCTGCTTGTCCCAGAATACAACCGGCTCAAAGAACAACATGAAGAGGTACAGTACTACACCTATGGGTCGCGGTATGATGGTGGTGCGTCTGAACGATTGGAGCAATACGTGCGGCAAGCAATTGTTCCTCAGATCATCAAACAGTTGTTAACCAAGAGGTACTTGCTAGTGGTCGAGAACCTCCAGTGGCCAATTGAGCCAGGCAATTTAACAGCAGATGTTGGGCTTCCTCCACCCTCGTGGGAAGCGTCTGCATGGATCTTCGATGCCACTTCTCGTGATGCCTATTACAAGAGCAAGTCAGTGGGTGATAGATTAATACCTTCATATGAAACACATGGAGTGGTTGTGTTTCTCACTGCCTTTGCACTGCATCAGTCGGCCGAGTACATACTCAACATGATCTCTCAAGAAAGCAAGGAGTATTGGCATCGCATAGCCCTCCATTGCTTCCACTATGCCATGGTGATGTTTGCTGGACATTCACAAGTTGTGGCTGTTACCTCGGACGAGCTCATCCACCAGTGGGCTGTCCAAGGCATCTTGCCACATATGGCCCTCGAAAAAGAAGAAACCAGCACCAAGTGTTCCCATATGCATCAAGTTGGAAATCTCATAATTGAAGCATTTCAGAAATACTCTTTGTTGCAGCTACCTTTTTCTCCTGCTGATGGAGCTTATGACGCCACCAATACCGGCGCACAATTCTTAGCGTACCACGGCATAGTTGCAGAAGGAATCACAATTGAAGAACTCTTTGATAACAAGAAAAAATGGATTTCCTTCGTCGGAGACGACGGATTGCATGTAAGCCGAGAATGGTTGAGCCTAGAGGAAACCAGGGGGCCGACTGCACTAATTCTGAGAGGCTGCTCACAACAATCGCTCGTACTTTCCAAGCTGGACTATTTCTTGCCCAAAATTTGTTTCCTCCGTGCTCTTGATCTCTCCTACACTCCTATAAAATCTCTTCCTTCTTCCATGTCTTGCTTACTAAGCCTTCGCCTGCTTTCCCTTAGAGGCTGTCATGATCTTAAAACTCTTTCCAGTTCATCTACAGTAACCGTCACCAACTCATCAACAAATATTAGTCCATATTCACCATTGTCCACTCTATACCAACTTCAAATTCTTGACATGAATGGAGTTCCTTGTTCTCAGCTAACACAAGATGTGGCCAAGCAAAAGAGCAATTTGATTCACCTCGACATGTCCTATTCAGAAATAACTACTTTTCCTCCTACTTTTTTTGAGAACATGTCAAATCTTGAAGAACTTATCATGACCAGCTGTTCAAACCTTGTGGAGCTTCCTCCTTCCATGGCTTCTCTATCCAACCTAACGACCCTTGAGTTCACAGCGACTCTGATAAAATACTTTCCACACAAGATATTTGAAGAAATGCAGAAGCTACAGTCGTTGAAGCTAATCGAGAAAAAGGAATTGATTTCACTTACAGGGCCAATCTCTGGTGACCACAGAACCAAATTGGAAGGCCATCCAAACATTGTATCCTTCATGCTGATCGGCACACCTCATATGAGGGGTTTGTCTTTGCGTGGATGTAGAAAACTTGAGTCTGTCGAGATCAAGGATCTTGGTGATTTGGAGGAGCTTGATTTGTCTGGTACAAGTATCAAGGAGCTCGGTGATGAAATCCCTAATCTTCCCCAGCTTAGGAGATTGCTCCTTGGGGGTGTTCCTTTTCTGAGGCGATTTCCTTGGCATAAGTTGGAGCGACTCCCTGATGTGTTTTACATGGATCACTGTTCAGAAGGAAATGTTAATCACTCTAGTCAAGTTTCCAAAGTGTGTGTTACTGACCCAAGGTTCTTCCATAGCTTTAATGACACAGTTGTGGATTTAATAACAGATGGACAGTTTTTCCAATCATTCTATGTTCGAGTTGCACCATGCACTACAAATAGCATGCAACTGCAAGATGAAGAAGTCATGCTACATAACAAGTTGCAGCAGTTTGTTCAGAAGCAAGCAACATATACTGATGTATATGACAATTGTTATGTAGAGAAAATTGCAGTTCCGTCACCAAAAACAATTCCCCTTCATCGTACTGAGCGCCATGTGGAGATCATAGGGACGCAATTGGGAATTGATGGTTTAAGCTATCTTCTAAGAGTCACCAAATCAATTTCGGTGGCATGTGATACTTCTATCAATTATTTTGATGACTCGGCCCATTTTTACGAGCTAGAAGAATGTGGGATACGTTGGTGCCATAAAATGGAAAGTGTTTTCAATGGAAGCACAGGCTTGGAAAAACTACGCAATATGCATGTGTGTGATCTCAAAAGTCTTGTTTGGCTCTGTTCACAGTATAGTTCTTTTGCCTTCAGTTCACTAGAGCACCTGCACCTGGAGAACTGCCCTAGATTGGAGCACGTGCTGCCACAAACAACAACACTGCCATGCCTCAAGACACTTAACATCCTGTTCTGCTACAAACTCAAGACAATTATCATCAGCAATTATATACAAGAGAATACTTATCAGCTCCCAAGCCTCCAAAGGATACGTCTCCAGGAGTTGCCACAGCTCCAGCACTTCCATGACAAGGACGCCACCATCACATCACCTGTGTGGAAGGAGCTCCACATCCGAGGGTGCTGGAGCCTCCGACGCCTCCCACTCCTAGAAGGATGCCAGCCGGAGACAGTGAAGGTGAACGGCGAGAGGAGCTGGTGGAGCAAGCTCCAGTGGGGCTCACCCCTGCACCACGACAGTTACGACCCCAAGCTGCCCCCGGAGTTCGCCTCATTCGATGAGTGCGCCGAGATGAGCAGCTACCTCAGATGAATCAACCCAGTCTCCATCAACACATCCATCCATCCATCAGTTGGTATGTGATTACACTCTATATATTTATCCTCTGTTCATCAACCATACATTCACCACAGAATAACTTCCTAAACACTACCTTGTTAATTAACAGTGTTCTGCCATATGTCCATGTTGTATATATGTGAACCATCCTGGTCTGCAAGATGATACTTATCACCTCCAAAAGATATGTCTCCAGGAGTTGCCATTGCTGCAGCACTTCCACGACAACGAAATCACCATCATAGCGCCCATGTTGAAGGAGCTCCACATTGGGTGTTGGAGCCTTCGATTCCCGCCACGCCTACCTTAAGTGTTCCACCATACACCACAGAGAACCTTCCTCAACACTACCTTATTAACAGTTTTCCACCATACTCTGCATCCACACTGTATATGTCAACTATCCTTGTGTCATTCGACCCCCTTGTCTCTATATATAGTATGCATCCATAACATACATGTCACCTATCTACATGCCCCTGCCTCCGTATACACCCGCATGTCATCCATTTGATTTTAGAGTTTTTTGCAAATAAAAGTCCATTTTCCTTGGTTATTGTTGACCAACCACTTTGTCCCCCATGGAATCGTGTTTACTTTTTACTGTTCCAACGCATTTTATTGGAGTATCAACTACTTTATATTTGGTGATGTACGGGCATCATTTGGGTTGTAAAATATGTTAAATTATCAAGTGTGGTTTGTACTGCCAGGAGCCTGTGTATTTTACTCGATTCAGATAATGGTTTGGCTATAAATGTTATACCAACATTGCTAGCTAGTTTTATTTGTGAAAATCGATTTCACTAGATGATGCAAGTTTGGCGGGTGTTACGCTCTGCCTTTGTACTCTCTTTATAAAGAACAGGACGGTCAGAAGGAAATCATTGGACAGGTCTGAGATTTGTAAAGAACAACAATATTTACCTCAGGTTAAGGTTACAAAGCAGCTTGCAAAAGGGGTTCCAGATTTCTATTGTAAATTACACCCTGCTTATGAGCCTAAAAATAAGTAAAAGAGGGATTGGAATCATTGGTGTAAAAGTATTGGTTAAATCCTCTGATATTAATTGTCTAAATATGACAGCCCAGCATAATCAATTTGTACCTTTGCAATTGTTGTCACTTCTTTTATAGCAGTGTCGACAGCCTTAGTGAGAAAATTGGATGGCTGCATCAATTCAGACTGAGAACGTGCCGTTATCAACAGCCGTACCATTTGATGCCATGATAAACAAAAAATATGTTGCTGCATGCACACATTTCTTTATCCATACATTTCAAATCAAATCTGGGCAAATGGCACTCTCTGTACGACAATTGATACGAAAGCAGCATGAACTTCTGGCGGATCAAATATGATGAGCTCAGAAAGGTAAAGAAAAAGATTCATCTTACCATCGCCAAATCTATATCTATATCTACACCCCTACTAATAAAGCAATGTGCGTTTCCCCAATTTTTTCATCCGCTCATCATAAAAAAAAATCTATCCGAGGTGGTACTCAATTCTTATGCGTTTGTCTGGTAGAAAAAGAATTTCCTTATGTTGGCAGCGCGTTGTGGCCCAGCGAAGCAAGTCCCCTTATTTTGCTCATGCAGCTGGAAAAATTCTATTCTCCACACCAGGCGAAGACGGAGTTTCGCACAGGACACCCTATAATGGGCTGGCTCATTTTTCTTTATTTCTGTGTTTTACTTCTATTTTTATTTCCCTTTTACTATATCTTTTTCCCTTCTAATTTTATTTTTCCTTTATAATTTATCTTGTAAATTAAAAATTCTTAATAAATGTTCAGAATTCCAAATTTTATTGCTATTTTGAATAAATATTCGAAACTTGCGAAAATTTCCGTTTTTTGAATTTTTTTTGTTTTTTAAAAATTGTTCAAGATTTCTAAAAAGAAAATGGCATTTCAGAAAATGCTCTAGATTCGAAAAATATTTATTTTTAGAGAAATTTCTACAATTAAAAAAATATTCTTTTATAAAAGATACACATTTTCTAAAAATCTTATGTATTTTTAAAAAATGTTCACAAATTCAAAGAATGTCAATGTTTTTTATAAAAAAGTTGGTGTTTTCAGAAAAGATTTGGGAATTTTATAAGATGTTCCCTTTCATATTTTGCTCGCGTTTTTCAAAAAATATACATAATTTTAAAAAAACTGTTCAGGATTTAAAAATTGTTCATGTTTACTAGAATGTTCAGAAACTTCATACCTTAAAATCCCCTCGATTGAAAGGATTGAATGGAAAACTAGATAAAATAACTCATGGGTCTTCTCTGCCGTATGATGAAGTAACAGAACTCTTAAATGCCCTCGATGAATGAATAGAAAAATAACGGATTGATCCCTTCACACGCGGCGAAACTGAGAAGCTAAATGTTCATTTTTCGTGTGCACACAGGGTTTTGCCTGCGCATATAATTTTCACAGACTTTAAATGCATACTATTTTAACTTCCGTTGCAACACACGGGCATATGTGCGAGTAGATATATACCAAACGGACTAGTGTCATCATATGTACAGTACTAAATGTTGAAACTGATTGGACGGATTCATACTCCATCATAACCTGGAGATCTGGAAAGAACAATGATTCCTCTCGGCCTTTGTCAAAGGAGCTAATCCATTTTCCTTCATGAATGCAAATTAACAACAATGCACTTATGAGCATGTCTGATGTCATGACTTTCATGATTGCAGCTACTTTCTCTTGACGCCAGCCTCCAGGAACTTCGAAAGCCAGAGCTATATGTGTCACCTGCACAAAAGCAACATGGTCCTAGTATAAAGCAGAAGAAGCAAGGAAAGAAGCTAAGGACTATGATATAAGAGGGTGGAAAGAAGCTAAAGATAAGGACACAGAGGGTGGAAGAATAAAAAACGGAGAGTGTTCATCACCTCAGAGTCAGTTTTTTGCATAAAAACCTCCACCAGTATATCAAAATCTCGACCAGTATATGCAGACTTTGGTCCGTGAGTTTCATTTCGGTGTCCGAAAACTTTGAAAAAGAACACTATTCCGAGTCGATTTGTTTTTTTTTTCTGGCATGCGTAAATGAGCATCTTGGATGCCTAAAAAATTCAGGTTTTTTACTTTTTCTTAGAATTTATTGTTCACGCCCGAGTGTAGATCAGCCTTGGTGTAGAATCGCCGCACCCAAGTAACTTGCAATTCTTCAAGGTGGTTTACCAGCCCATGAAAATCAAACCCCACATTTTACCAGTCCTCGAAGATCTAAAAAAACACAGCCCTTGAGGTGGAGTGATTGAGGATTGCAGCCAAGGCAGAGATGGTGAGTCTCGCACCCTGTAAGATCATTTTGGCCTGTATATATAATTCGTTTCGAGGTCTACAAAGGGCAAGTTCGTACTACATGAATATGAGCGGTGTGCGAATGAGTTGCCCGGAACTTCCTTGACACTTCCTTCGATTCGCAATTATAGACAGACATTAAGCAAATAATGACTTTGTATTGAGCAAGGAAACAGGAAGACTGCTAAGTATTGGCCATTGGGAGCGGCAACAACCGGCTGACAGTAGCTGCTGTACTTGCTGTAACTTGTTAGGCAAGATGTATTGCCACTTGCTGTAAAAAGCATATCTAATAGCCAAGTAGTGTTATACAAAGCAATAGACAGCATGGTAACCTCCATCACGACCACTTGCATCTCTGGATGTAAGAGTCTCTGCAATACTACTCACAGTTTCATACGCAAGGAAGCTCCAGGCACAAGAGCACCACTTGGGTCACAAGTCGTTGGTTCCAGGTCTCCGCCGGTGACGAACATTTGACTTTGTCAATAGGTCTACTCCAAAGATGCTACTAGTAGGAAAACCGATTATTTGACTTCCAGTTGCCTTGGGGAAAGTTTACTAAGGCTGGTCATAGTAGGGAGGAGTAACTTATACTAGTGTCATGCATATGACACTAGTCTAAGTTACAACCTTCATAGTACAAAGTAACATAGAAGTAGTGTCATATGTGGCTTCATTTAATAGCTTGTAAACTCGTCTTGTCTTGGAAAGCGCTATGTTACAGTAACATATTATGTTACTACTTCTCATTAACTATGTGCCACGTAAGCAAAAATTTCTCGAAGTGTGCTATGTTACTACTACCTCCGTCCTGGTTTATAGGTCTTCTTTGTAGTTTGTGCCAAATTTTGACTAAAGATTTAACTAATAAAATGTTAATGCATGTCAAGAAAAATTATCTCATTGGATTTGTATTTGAACATAGTTTTCAAAAATATAATGTTTGGTGACATGCGTGAACATTTTGTTAGTTTAATCTATGGTCAAAATTTGACACGAAATACAATGGGGACCAATAAACCCGGACGGAGGTAGTACCTAAGTTACTCCCACTATGACTAGCCTAATTGTATTAGTATGTTATGTAATACTCCCTCCGATCCATAATAAATGTCGCAGATTTAAACTAAAGTTAGTTCAACCTTAGCTCAAAATCGTGACACTTATTTTTAAACGAAGGGAGTAAGGGTATGTATAACCATTTTGCATCTCTGTTGTCTTGATTACCGAAAAAGACTCTCGCGCCGCTTTATATATAAAGCACGATCACAACAATCCAGTACACACACATGCCACCACAACACACGCACACACCCAAGGCAAGATATATAGGCGATGAGCACGGCAACACCACCCCTAGCACTACCACCGCGGAGAGATGAAGCCGCATATGACGAACCGTGGGCTCTAAGGCGGCGTCTTCAGGAAGGATACGACACCGGAGCGCCGCCACCGCCCAATTCGAGGATCAGAGTTTCCCCCGGAGCCGCACGACGGGCAATGAGAGCCGCGACGACGCCTTCAAGAAGGGAACGAGCTTCGCCGCCGCCGGCCCGTCCGAAGATAGAACAGGTTTTCACCCCGGACAAAACTCACCGCCGTCGAACGCCACACCCCGGCAACCATGCCGCCCACACGGCCATG